GTTTCTTGCATTTTGTCTATTCTATTTCCAAGATTTTGGATCATCTTTACTATCATTATTCTGAATTCTTTTTCAGGTAGACTGCCTATTTCCTCTTCATTTGTTAGGTCTGATGGGTTTTTATCTTGCTCCTTAATCTGCTGTGTGTTTTTCTGTCTTCTCATTTTGCTTATCTTACTGTGTTTGGGGTCTCCTTTTTTCAGGCTTCAGGTTCGTAGTTCCCGTTGTTTTTGGTGTCTGTCCCCAGTGGCTAAGGTTGGTTCAGTGGGTTGTGTAGGCCTCCTGGTGGAGGGGACTAGTGCCTGTGTTCTGGTTGATGAGACTGGATCTTGTCTTTCTGGTGGGCAGGTCCACGTCTGGTGGTGTGTTTTGGGGTGTCTGTAGACTTGTTATGATTTTGGGCAGCCTCTCTGCTAATGGGTGGGGTTGTGTTCCTGTCTTGCTAGTTGTTTGGCATAGGATGTCCAGCACTGTAGCTTGCTGGTCGTTGAGTGAAGCTGGGTGCTGGCGTTGAGATGGAGAACTCTGGGAGATTTTCGCCGTTTGATATTATGTGCAGCTGGGAGGCCTCTTGTGGACCAGTGTCCTGAAGTTGGCTCTCCCACCTCAGAGGCACAGCACTAACTCCTGACTGCAGCACCAAGAGCCTTTCATCCACATGGCTCCTTAATTTGGAATGATTCGTTGTCTATTCATGTATTCCACAGATGCAGGGTACATCAAGTTGATTGTGGAGCTTTAATCCGCTGCTTCTGAGGCTGTTGGGAGAGGTTTCCCTTTCTCTTTTTTGTTCTCACAACTCCCAGGGGCTCAGCTTTGGATTTGGCCCCGCCTGTGCGTGTAGGTTGCCGAAGAGCGTCTGTTCTTTGCTCAGACAGGACGGGGTTAAAGGAGCCGCTGATTCAGAGTCTCTGGCTCACTCAGGCGGGGAGGCGCGGGGGGGCGGGTAGGGAGGGTCACGGAGTGCGGGGCGGGCCTGCGGCGGCAGAGGCCGGCATGACATTGCAGCAGCCTGAGGCGTGCTGTGCGTTCTCCCGGGGGAGCTGTCCCTGGATCCCGGGACCCTGGCAGTGGCGGGCTGCACAGGCTCCCTGGAAGGGGGGTGTGGATAGTGACCTGTGTTCGCACACAGGCTTCTTGGTGGCGGCAGCAGCGGCCTTAGCGTCTCATGTCTGTCTCTGGGGTCCGCACTTTTAGCCGCGGCTCGCGCCTGTCTCTGGAGCTCCTTTAAGTAGCGTTCTTAATCCCCTTTCCTCGCGCACCAGGAAATAAAGAGGGAAGAAAAAGTCTCTTGCCTCTTCGGCAGGTCCAGACTTTTTCCCGGACTCCCTCCCAGCTAGCCGCGGTGCACTAACGCCCTGCAGGCAGTGTTCACGCCGCCAACCCCAGTCCTCTCCCTGCGCTCCGACTGAAGCTGGAGCCTCAGCTCCCAGCCCCGCCTGCCCCGGCAGGTGAGCAGACAAGCCTCTCGGCTGGTGAGTGCCGGTCGGCCCTGATCCTCTGCGCTGGAATCTCTCCACTTGGCCCTCCGCACCCCTGTTGCTGTGCTCTGCATGGCTCCAAAGATTCCCCCCTCTGCCACCCTCGTCTCTACCCACGAAGGGGCTTCCTAGTGTGTGGAAACCTTTCCTCCTTCACAGCTCCCTCCCAGTGGTGCAGGTCCCAACCCTATTCTTTTGTCTCTGCTTCTTCTTTTTTCTTTTGCCCAACCCACGTACGTGGGGAGTTTCTTGCCTTTTGGGAGGTCTGAGGTCTTCTGCCAGCGTTCAGTAGGTGTTCTGTAGGAGTTGTTCCACGTGTAGATGTATTCCTGGTGTATCTGTGGGGAAGAAGGTGATCTCCGCGATTTACTCTTCCGCCATCTTCCCGGAAGTCCCAAGACATTTTTAATCCTAATTTTATGACCATTTTATTGTTATTATATTTGTTCTAGTTAAATAATTTCTCCTCTTTTCTTTATCAAGTATAACTGTAGCAGCTGAACAATTGCTGCTACTTTTCTTTTCAACCTACTTTGTTATTAATATGAGTAAATATTAGACACTGTGGGATCCATTTAAGAGGAAGTGCTTTGTGATACACATTCTCAGTTAAAAATTACCATTATCCACGTGAATAAATAAATTTCCAAGCAAGTGACTGAGCTATTTAGTCCTTTCAGTTCATTTTTTTCTCATACACTTTCTTTCTCTGCTGAAAAGTGGCAGTGCTTTATCTTATTTGATTAGTTTTGAAACTTTTCCTCATAGCATTAGATCCCCATCCACATACTTTTGTGAGGCCCCAGTTACTTCAATGACATACCTTGCTTTTCTTCACTGCGCCTAATAGTAAGCTTTCCACGCCGGAACCCATTCTCTAACTCATATTTACAATTTGCTAAAAAGCTGGGTAACTATGGCAAAAGAAAATGTTACTTGCATTGTTCAAAAATTCATCTGCAATGTGGAAATTCTGACTTGAGAAGAGACCGTATTGACAAATAAAGGCTACTCTAGCTATAGAAAGGATCAATTTAACAGGATAATTAGTTGATCCTAAGAGAAGAATTTATAATAGAAATAACACAAAACCTGGATTCGGAGCAGATACAATTTCTCAACCAAAAAAAAGTGGAACAAATATTCTATAACTTTAGGTGGTAGTATAGCACTGTATTTATTTTGAAGTCACCTTAGAACTAGTATGTAAATATACAAACTCTAGATTTTAAATAAAAATGATTGTAAAATTTAGCAATCACTAGAAACATAGCTATTGATGAGATATATGAAGTTCTTATGGGGAAAAAAGAATTCAAAGACCTGCAGGAGTAATTTAGGACTATACAAGATTATGGAGAAATCTTTTTTTTTTTGCGGTATGTGGGCCTCTCACTGTTGTGGCCTCTCCCGTTGCAGAGCACAGGCTCCGGACGTGCAGGCTCAGCAGCCATGGCTCACGGGCCCAGCCACTCTGTGGCACATGGGATCCTCCCGGACCGGGGCACGAACCCGTGTCCCCTGCATCGGCAGGCAGACTCTCTGCCACTGCACCACCAGGGAAGCCCAAGAAATCGTTTTTGAAGAATGCCATTCCCAATACATTCACACAAACATGAAAAGTATAGTTTAGAAGAAAATAAAGCAGAAATAGAGTGGAACAAAAGGCACACAGATTTTGTTTTAAATGAAATGATAAAACATATAAATAAGACCAAAGCATCCTCAGAAAAAAATTACATTTTTAATAGAAGCTAAAACTTTAGGATAATCACAAAATGAAAACAGTCGAAATCACCACATTTAAAAACAACAAAACAACTATCAGAGATATTTATGTCTAATGTACCTTACGTAATTAATGATACAACAATTTGTTTAATGTTTGTTCTATAACAAACTCTATGGAAGATGGAGCTGGGGAGGAAAAGCTTTTCCTCTACCCTTTTAGGCTTTTTGGGATGGTCTAAGAATTAAATCGACATGTGACAGATTAACAGGAGAAAAATAATTTAATTACATACATACAATAGAGGGGCTCCGTAAGAATATGAGTTAGACAGTTAGACAGTTGAGGGGGAAGGGGTCTGGGACTTCAAAGTGGAGGAAGACAGTTCATAGGCAGATGAAAAGAGCAAAGGTTTGGTAAACATACATTTGCCAGGCCATGCAAGTCTTTCCGACATACAAAGAATTTATCTTCAGTAGTAGCTGTCTTCATGGTGCAGGCTCCCCATCTAAAGTCTTTTAGGTAGTTAAGGAGGAGATAAAAAGAAAAACTTCCTGAGTCTTTTATTTCTCAAGAACCAGCTCCAGAGAATCCTCATGCCAAAGAGACACACTTCGAGGTGGCAAATTTTCTCCCCTGCAGTGGAGACTTGCTCGTGTTGTTCAGAGATTCAGCCTGGGATCGAGCACTGTGCCAGGAAATGGACAGCTAATCGCTACAGATTTCAAAGGCATTTATACTCCCAGCTAGGGGAGGCTTCCTGGAGGAGCTGGACCTTAACTAACAGATAAAATACAGACATGCAGTGAATAGAGTAGACATTTCAGAGAGGAGGAAATGGCACAGACAAAAGAGAAATTGTGGTAAGCGTGTAATAACAGTAAAAGTTCAGTTGGGTTTAAGGCACGTGAAGAGCAGTAGCAGGAAATAAGATTATATAGGTACTTAGGTAGTTCAGTAAGACATAATTGCTTAAGAGTTACTGGGAAAATTAGAATTACCAATCCCATTCTATCATTCTTACAGCATTTTAGATTTGGGGGAAATACCCCAGGTCATATATACCAAAAAGTCATGAACCTTTGCCTCCTTCAGCTTCTTTCTCTTGAGAAGTCAAATTAGGAAGTTTAGAAATTGGATAATGTTCAGCATGTGTCCTTTGACAGTTTATTTGAACTGAGAATTGTTTAATTATTTTGGATTTGTAGTTTCAGATGCTTTTAGAATATGGACATCCCTTGAAGTGTCAGACTCAGGTTTCAAATTGTACTTAAATTCTCATCCAGCAAGGACATTCTTTCTTTCTTCAAGACTTAACTATAGTATATGAGCTAGACACTGTGCCAGATATTTTAAAGCAGAAAGAGTTAATATTTATATAGCATCCTATAAAATGTCCTCCTGGGATTGAAACTGATATGAGTCAGCAAGCCTTATGTTAAAGTGTTAAGGACGTTTCAGGTGTAAAGAAATTATAAGGTTTCGGGAAGGGAGATAAGCTCTTGGTCAATTAAGTAAATATGTAAGGAACTTAATAGAAAATACATTTTCAACTCCAGATTTTGGAATCTGGAGCCTGCCATCTCTGATTATCTGTGATATTGGCGACTTCATGCCTTAGAAGTTTGGCTGAGAAGAAGATTGTAATATTTTTCAGCTCTACTCAGAAAATAAAGTTAAATAAAGTAAACAAATTAATTAATTAGCAAAAGTAATAAAGTGACTAAAGCTGCCTGGTACACCAGTAATAAAGTTAAGCACCAGTCTAGTGGTTCTTCTTTATCTCACAGTGTACTTCAGGGCCGTGCTCTCTGTGGAATTAGGTGAATATAAGATAATTTATTCTTGCACACCCTCCCCTTTTTAGGTTTTCACCTGTCCCTGTGTTTGTAAAGAGCTAAATAGCAGAAAAGAGGACTGGCCAAGTTACAAACGAACTATATCATCAATGGGATGCATGAGGTTAAATTTATTTTGAGCCTGACATCATCCAGAGGAGTTACTAGTTCACGTTGATACAGAAACAGGTCACAGAATAATAAAAAATACACTCTGGGATCTTCACACAGAAGATTGAAAGAAGCAAAATACAGTAGTAGCATGGGCCTTTAAGTATCTCATTCTTGTGCCTGCCAAAGGTTCAGCATCTTTTTAGGAAAGATCTCTTAACACTTTCATGATGGTAGAAGATAAATTGTTGCTTTCCAAAGCATGCACATATGTCTTACTGGAAGACAATGTAACTGTAACCTGTGGTTATGTGCCTTGATGTAAAAACCTTTGTTGGCTTCTAACTGTGAAGATTTTCAAGCTGACAAAGGATAGGGACTCGTATCTCTATTCTGTTGTAAAAAAAATAAAAATCAAGTGCGTTAAGTTATTCTTTCTGCATTTAAAAAAACTTGAATATCAGCAGTAAAGCTGTATGTCAGTGTATATTAAATATTCATATCCTTGCTAAGAAGCTATCCCTCTGTACAGTATTTCCCCTATAAAGTTTTATTTTATTTTTACTTTAGGACATCCTCCTATATGTTTTCCTATTCTTCTGTTTTTCATACTTGTTTTGTGTTTTTGCCTATATTGCTTTAAACCTATAATAAATTATATATAATAGAAAAAGTGCTTAAAAACATTTTCAGATATATTTCCATATCATGTAAATATTGTTGTTCTAGAGGCTTTCCTCTCCCCATCCTCGATCCCCTTGAAGAAATGACTTTCTGGGTTTCAATAAATACTCTTGGAAACAAGGAAGTCATTTTTCAGCTTTGACAGTCAAACGAGATTTTTTTCGTTTGTTTGTTTGTTTGTTTAAATTGGCAATAGGACAATAAGCTTGAAAACCCGGCTTTATCAAGAGAAGGGGGATTTTCTTTAGCATATCAGAATGCAGCCTGGCAGTCTTAGATAACACAGGTACATCCATAAGACTCTATTTTCCCATGACAACTAGTGCTTGAGAGTTGCTACATAGGGTAGGAGGGACAAAAGGCAGCAGAGTTCAAACCTGTTTCATCTTGATTGGAGTAGAGAAAAAATAAAAGGGAGAGACACACAGGTGCACAGGTGTGAGCGACAAGTGGCCTGAAGGTTTAGTTCTTTTTTAACTGAACTTGTCCAGAATGAGGAGGTATGTCAGAAACCACCTGAATGTTCAAACATATGAGATGGTTTAAATGAATTATGGAACTTCTCAGTGTAATATTATATACTCATTAAGAAAAAATGGCAGTAGTTTTGTTTAACTACTGGTAAAAATAAGTTTGATTAAAATGATGTTTAACATAAAGAAGTAAGGGAATCTTTGGAATTCAATTGTGAATGTATGGTAGGCTCGGGGGAATTGCGTTGTTGCCAGGTACCTTCTCTTTCTCTCTCTCTCTTTCTAAATAGTTAATTGTCTCTTTGACTTTGCTTCTCATTGTGTATCTGCTTCATTTTTCACTTTCTCTCTAATCTGTTTTTCAGTTCATTGATCTACTTACATATTGTCCTTAAACAATGGCCTCAACCCCCAAGATTTTCCGTTTGTTTCCCAAATGAGTACCTGTGCCCTAATTCTTATATTTTTGAACCATCTCTCATTTGTCTACCTTGGATCAGAAGTTCATAGTTGATCCAATGAGCAGTAGCTGCAGGGTACAAGAGGTCAAAGAGGGCATAAAGTGGCCTATTTTACAGTCATGGATAAGATGAGATTTCTGTGATGAGGTTGTAAGAGAGGAGATTATATTTCTAGAATCAGCTGATATGAAGAAAAAAAATCTGTTTAGTAAGGTTGGGAAATCCTGAATTCATCAAGATTAAGCAGTTTTCTTTAATATAGTACTACTGAGAATCTTTGATATATGTAAATATTCAGATTGGTAATTTCCTACCCCAAATTAAATTGTCTAAAGATCTATCTTTTGTTTGCTTTTAAGAGCAATTCTTTGTATAGTTTTCGAACACATTTCAAAATTTATAGATCCATTTTGGAAGGGAATACTGTTTAAAAGAATATCGTACCATTTTTATTGAAATGCATATATTTAAATGTGAATATGCATATTCACTTGTTCGTTCAAAATCCATTCAAGGCCTACTACATGGCAAGCATTGTGCTGATGCAGGGAAGTAAAAGTTTACAGAACGCCACGATATTAATAGCTATTACTGCTGGGTAGAATAATCATGCATAACTTTTTTTTTTTTTTGCTTAATTTTTGGCTTATCAATTTTTGGCTTTTCTTCTTCAGTGAACTATACTATTTATTTGACAAAATAATAAAACGATTTTCTGAACTAAGTCACCCAAGATAAAAAGAAGCTCCAGAAGGAATTCTATTTCCATCACTAGTTATGATGTTGATATATCGGAGGCCACTAAGTCAGGGACCAGCTGAGTTTGGAAGTATACAGACACCACTTGTTATGAGATTTATAACCAGCATGAGAATTTCTACGTTGTTGATATATATATTTATAGGTCTATTTGCATTCAAAGACACAACTGTCTCTTTAAAGCACTTGAATCTACTTTACTGAAAATCCCCTCATATTACTGAGGCTTAAGTACACTGAGAATTAAAGAAAGAGTATTTGTATTTTTACCATTGAAGTTGTCTTTACTTTGAAGAAGAGTCAGAGACCTGTTCATTTATAATATGATTAAGGGATTTAAACAACAAAGATGGTTTATATTATTTTGCTCAGTAGCTGAATTAATCATTCCTCTTCCCACGTACGTGGAAAGATAGTACCTCCTGCATCTCAAAAGTAGGTGAATATGTGGCCTGCTTTGGCCAATAACAACGTGAGCGGAAGTGATGGGTGTCACTTCCAGGTGGAAGCTTTACGAGCCAGAGTGCGATGGCCTTGCTCTCTCTTTCCCTTGGCCATCAATGATGGCTGTGTGAGAAGCCTGGTTCCAGGTGAAAAGATGCAGAGCAGAGCTTTCAAGCAATAGGCAATGTTTATGGAGAACAAGGGAAGGCTAATCTTTTGAGATATTATAACTACTGAGATTTTAGAGGATGTGCATCACTGTAACACAGCTTTCTCCCTTTGACTGACACTAGTAATTTTATTGAAGATAGCTTAATACAGTTTTCATAGTACTAAGAGTAGAGGCTCTGCAATCATACTTTATAGGTTCAAACCACAGCTCTCTCGTTAATTTCTTTGTGTGGTACTTTGGCACGTTACATATGTTTTCCTTTGCCTCGTTTTCCTCAAATGGGAACAATAATGCCTTCTTTATAAAGATCTCAGGAGGAGTAAATTTCATGACACACATATGGAAATAAATGAAGACCATCCAACAAGAACAAGTGAAGACTATGTATATACATAGGATAGGAAGGGAGTCAGGCGCCATCATCTGGATTTGTCAGAGACTCAGAGGCAGGCAGAAGTGTATAAAAGCTTTTTAGTGAAAAATCGGAAGATTTTAAGTATGCCCTGGTTGGGTGTGGTTGGCCAGGAAACCCAGAGGCAGACTAATGAGAAGTGGGGCGTCCTTGTAATGAGGAGAGCATGTTTGGGTTTCTCCAGTTGTCTCTAAATTGGAATCAAAGGTAAAAATTAGGGAAGCTGGCAGTTTTTAAGTCCTGATTCTTGGGATTCATTGCTACGGAGATTATGATTTGGCTTCCTGGACTCATCGCTACAGATCGTGGGTCAGTGTTCTATTCTTATGTAAGATCTGGTTCGTTTGTAAGTCTCTCACATGTGAGATATGCATTGTAACTTATTTTGCACCATATCTAGCTATAATAAAATCAATAAATAATACTTATTATTTTTGTTATTATGATGTATATCATTAGTCCTAAAATAATTGTTAAAATTTATTCGCTATTAGGTACTCCTTTTGATTTGAACGGACCTTTAGCTTCTCCTAACAATAGCTACCTTTCTACATTATAGTGTCTGAACTAAATATTTTATTATAAATTAAAATAAATATTCTAAGTAGAAAGAGAAAGTAAGTGAAGCTACCCTCTTTTTAGACATCAGTTTCTTGTTGGCTGGGGTTTCCATCTTCCTGGAAAATTACATATGATGTCTGTTACTTGGAAATGAAGGAGCTAAATTAAGTTAAGCTATTTCTAATGAGACTCAGGATATCTTGATGGTAAATGAACAAGAAGTACATGTTAGGAGAAAATTAGAATGAGACTAAGGAACACAGAAAATCTGAACTCTGCAGGGCATAGATCTCATTCCTGGTGCTCCAGGAGGCCTGCAAGAGAGCTATACTTTTTAGAAAAATAAACTATTTGAAACACTGTGTACTGTATTAAACTCTCTATTATAAAAAGTGTACAGAAAGTACAGGAGAAATATGACAAACATTCCTGGAGTATCAGATTTAACAGACTATTAATATTATGCTAGGCTTCAATTATTTTCAAAATAAAAATATAAGATATAAGTCATAGTTCTTGAAGTGTATTTTAAAGCCCTTTTCAAACACAGTCAGCTTCACTACAGCCAAGAAGTTCTCACTAATCAGAACATAACCACTAATCAGTATATAATTTTTATACTTTACTGCATCTTTATATATTCATAATAAATATGTGGTATCATTTAAAATTTTGTTTACATTAATAGTAAATAGCAACACATTTCATACTCTGAAATGTTACTTAATTTTCATTTTTTCACTCAGCTTTAAATTAAATGTTGGCATATGGAAATGTAATTCATTTTAGTTACTCTGTATTGAAGAAATGTTTGAATGGTCTAAAATATATCTTTTCAATTAATAAACAGGGCTTTTTTTCATTTTTACAAATAATCCTCCAATTAGCAACTTAATATACTTCTCTGG